GACATGATTGAGACAAGAGTTAACATTGGTGTTGCTTTTCACTGTTGGAGACAACTGTTAGTGAGTAAAGGAATGAAGTTTGATGCTGAACTTGAGACGTTTCTAGACTTGTAAGCAACAGCTGTTAATGCTAACATTAGCTACGTAGCAATGGCCAAACTTGAAAATGGCTCCTTTATTTGGCTGTTGTTAGTCAGACTGTTTTAGGAATAGTTTGACATTTGCTTTCTTGCCCAGATGAAAATGTTGATGTCTGCACAGTAAAAATGAATCTACAACAGGCAGCTGGTTAGCTTAGCTTAGCACAAAGACTGAAAACAAATGGAAGCAGCTAGCCTAGCTATGTCCAAAGCGAATAAAATCTGCCTACTAGCACCCCTAGAGTTAGGGAAGAGAATGATGGTATTAAAAGGTATTAAAAGGTTTGTGCTTGTGTTTGTGATTCATGTAGGTATATGTAGGGATGTATGCACACTATATGTACAGCATCCATCGTACAATATTCACTCATACTGTTTTCCTAGTGAGTTATAAAATGGATGCAGTGTGATGAAGTCAGTGTGACTGTTTTTGAGTTGTGAAGCCTTGTTTACCTGTCAGCATACTGAGTGCAGCCAGGTACAGGAAGAAGCAGAACATGTTGCTTGTCCGCTGACAGCGACCTGAAGCACAAGTAAACTTTTTCTAATCAGAAAACAAAGCCCTGTACATACTGCACACTGAACAGTCTAAAGATCGTCATTGCAGAATATGCAATGGCATTATTTAAATTGTAATGTTTTTCTTTTCATTTCCTTCTCCTCCTCCAAATAATACATTGCCTAAAGGCATTTTTAAAATTCTCGAGAGGATAAGAATTTTTACCTGACAGTTCAATTGTATTGTGACTAAATAAATCCAGTTATACCAGTTCAAAATTCAACTGCTCATTGGCCATGAATGACCCATGTACCAGCCTTGACTATATTTCAACCTAACAGAGACAAAATATTTAATTCTAGAACAAAGTGTTTGACTAAAGACAGACCATGACATTACAATGGCACCATCTGAAATGCAGCATTTCTTTCCTTTTCTTTTTTTTAAATAACAAAAATGTCAGAAATAAATACATCTCCCAACCTACATTCAGCAGACATGGACTTTCTTTTATTAGTAACTGATGAAGTAAATAATGTCAGTGTAAACTTAATTATTAAGGTAATGTGGGAGCAGTTTAAATTGGCTCCACATTTGTTTACACCTCACAAAACTGTCAGAACTGTATTTATTCAATAACTATGTTTGATTTGACCAAAACATAACAGTGAGTGAAAGTTTCTTTTCTTATTTTGAAACATTATAAACTTTATCATGGTGTGAAAATATCGCTTTTTCTAATGTTTCTAAAATTTTCTGGCCATCAGTGTGGCAAAAATCCTTGGATCTTTATATTTACTCGAATTTTTTGTATTTTTTGTATTTTTCGTATTTTTCGTATTTCATTTTATGTTTTATGTTTTTTTCACCCCAGGAATGACTCTTTTTTTTCTCAAAAATCTGTTCTAAAGCTTTTGGAAGTATTAAAAAAGAGAGGAGATAAGCCAAAAGTTTCCAGGTTTTCTTACCCTGTGGAGGAGTTGTAGGGAAGTCGAGTAGCTGTTGTCTCTCTCTCTCTGTGTGAAAGACACAGCACACTCTTGGGCTGCCTCTCTGTCTATTTACATGTTTACTCTCCAGCAGAGTGAAGAGATTCTCACACTTTTTCTTGTGTTGTTTTGTCTTCCCAAACTGGGTTCTGTCATGGAACATTCCAGTTTACAAATACACTGTAATTACCTGAGAGTCACTAATGCAGACTGATTACAAGCTGTCAGACTTATCAATGACTCCAACTTGACACGTATCATGAAGATAATGCAGCTTAAAGGGCCGTATAATGTAAAAAAAAAGATTTGAAGGTTTGAGTTCAGCTTGTTTAAGATTGGGACATTTCTTCATTGACACAGTTTCTTTCACACAGAACGGACTCCAGTCTGTCCTTAAGCAGTTCAGTTATCTCTATTTGAGATTGTGTTTCATCCACCACTGATGGGGCTTTGACTCACTTTGATTCAATGGTAAAAGGGTCAAGCAATATAGAGAGGTGTTTGTGTGTGTGTGTGTGTGTGTGTGTGTGTGTGTGTGTGTGTGTGTGTGATGCTGGTGTTGATACACACTCCTCTCTTGAGCATCTAGAAGCAATTACAGCCTAAACTATTGAGAGAAGTACTTCACGTAGGGCATGAACCCAAACATAATATAGTATAATATAATATAATATAATGTAAAATAATATAATATAATATAATATAATAAAATATAATATAATATAATATAATATAATATATATCTCATATCACTGTCCAGATTCCTGGAAAAACTGCAGTTGCCCTATTGACTTGTGTTTGTTTATGCATAGCAACAAGCCGAAGCAGCCAGTGTGGTGTTTATACT